GACTCTGGCAGAGTGAGAATGAAGACAGGGTCGCCTGTTTAATTAGGGGGCATTTGGCTAGGATAACGTAGCAAAAGAGATTAAGTGAATTCATTTTACGTCCTCCCAACTCTGGATGAATGTTAGAATTACCCAAGGAACTAATAAAAACCCCACATGGATAGAACCCCCCCGACCCCCAGGGATTCAGATTCATTTGGACTGCAATGAGGCCCAGGCATGCATCCATCATCCATTTACGTATTGACGTACCTATATACTTATCTACATTTGGGAGGCTCCCAAGGTATGATTCCAATCTCCAGCCGGGCTTTAGAACTACTAAATTGGTTAGAACACAACTTTCACCATTACTCCTTGTTAAGCTAAAGCATGAATCCACGTAGTCAGCCAAGGAATATTAACTGAGCACATGTGAACGCTCCTCTCTTACCTCCCCAGGATACACTACTAAAAAGAAAAACAAATATGGCAAGTATTAAGTTCAAGACCAAAGGCTTTCAGACTGGGGAAACAGGGAAGCGCTAACGTCACAGTTTACGTCTGAGGCTCATCTGCAGGTAGAATTCCTCTTGCTCAAGGGAGCTCAGTCTTGTGTTCTATTCTGACCTTCACCTGATTGGATGAGGCCCACCCACATTAAGGAGGTTGATCTGCTTTATTTAGAGTCCACTTAAGTGCCATCTCATCCAAAAACAGCATCACAGAAACATTCAGAATAATGTTTAACCTCATATCGGAGCACTATGGCACCACTAAGTCAACACTGAATAGTCACATGGTCCATGATGGGCTAAACGTCCAGGAGGAGGCTGGATGATACTGAAGCACAACAACAAAACCAGTGCAGAGTGTGAAGATGGTATGGAATGCCGGGTGACGGGGAGAGTGGGCAGGGAAAGCCTCCTGGAGAAAGGGGGAGAAGTGGACTAGGGGAAGCATCAGTGGGGGATGGGCAGCGAGGTCCTGAAATGGTCCCGGTGAGAGATGAGTGCTCAGATGCAGCCATGCGACCTAACTCGTGTCTTCTTTGGCAGAAGTAAATCGAACTTTCTAGAGCATTCGATGTTGTGGCAAGTGGTGAGGGAAACAGAGAATTCCCACATTTCTGGCTTAAACAATTCAAAAGAAACAAGAGCTTTTATCCTAGTTACCAGCCTGGCTCAAGTTATACCCAATAGCAGCCTGCATTATGCAAATTGTGTATCCTAATTAATGTAGATCCAGTTTGATTTATGCAAATTCTTGCTTTGGGCTGTGTTAGTCATTTCCTGCCTGCACTACCTCTTGCCCATCAGGACCACTTCCCCCCCCGACCCCTCATCCCATTGCTGCTCTATGGACCAGAGCCATGAGCATGTCTGGGGTCAGTGAGTTCTGAGTGGCCATTGTGGCTGAGTCCAAGGACAGGAGGAAGGTGTGTCTGACATCCAACCTGAGCCGGTACCGCCTATGGGCCTCTCTCTTTGAGAGCTTGCTCCTGAGCTCCTGCGTGCCACTGGCCCCTCTCTCCATCAGTGTGTGACTGCTCCAGTCCCTGGTAGAGCTCCTCTGTCTCAGAACTCCGCCCAGCCCTCCTGCCATGCACTCCCAATACACTCGCACACCATCTGCATGCTGCAAAAATATTGACCACCCCCCTGACCCCATGGTACCTTTTAAAGGCACTCCCACACAGGAACGCCGCCTTATTTTATTGAGGCAGAGTGTGTGTTTCATTCAATTCTGAACGCCAGGAGCCTAGAATAGCTCACAAGATAAATGTCAATCAACTCTAGCATAATCAAGACACCCATTCCTGACTCATTAGGGCCCGCTCATTCCCTTTAAGCTTCTCAGATTTATACACTGTAATTAGAAACTTGGTGATTTTGACTGCTAAACAGAAAAGCTTAGAGGGACGCTTCCCATGTCTGAATTTTAAATATTTTCACACTTCGTTAACCCCGTTGCTGGTGTAACATCTTCTGGCCCAATTCCCTCACACTGCGTGATTTTTATTTTGGGATAGAGATGAGCACAATTAATTGAATTCAGACACATATTGATTACTGTTTTTCATGAACTCTGAACAGCTTGTCTGGGAGTGATTTTATTGAGGAGTCGTTAAACAACTGTTTTGCTGGGCCGCGTCCCCCACGTCCTCATCCGGGCTGTAAGTGCCTGTCTGCAGGGTTGATGGCCTATTTGTGGGGAGCTGGGTTGTTCACAAGAGCAGTCAGAACGGGGAAAGCCATACCCACTCTCTTCACACACTTGCCTCGCCTGGGGGACACTGAGGTCCACTCAAACCCAAGCAGGGTTCTGGCGGGGTCTGTGGGAACGGCCTGATTCCCATTCCTGGTGAAAATACTCAGCGTGTGGGCCCCATGCGAGCAGGGACATCACTCAGATCGTTCAGTGGCCACATTATTCATCCAAGGACTGCACTGCTTTCAGCAGGCAGAACTTTCCAGATCCAGACGATGAAGTTTTAGAATGTCTCTTGGACCAGTGCTTCTCACACTTCAATGTGCACATGAATCACCAGAAGATCTTGTTAAAACAGACTCTGGTTCAGGGGGACTGGGCTGGGGCCTGAGATTCTGCATGTCTGATGCCCATCTGTGGACATGAGGCCTTTGACGTGACCTAACTCTGCACTGCCTGCCACACTGTGATCGAGAAGAGCGTTCTGTGTCTCCCACTAAAGTATAGGTCCCTGGAGATCGGAGGCCATGGTCTGATTCCTAACCCGAGTTACAGCAGGAAAGAGGCAGATGTGACAAAGTTTCCACATCTCTACCTGGGCACAAGGTCTTCCAATAAAAAGCTGAGCTCTCATTGCGATTTCATAGATGATGGAAATGTCCTCGCCTCCTGGCACACTCTTCAGATGTCCCCAAGATGCTGATGTACCCACAGCCAGTTAGCCACACAATGGCCAGGTAATTGTTTAAGAATATAAATATGATTCCTAGGGCTCTTTATTCTTCTCTGGATAAAGCACACACTCTGCCCCTGCCCACCCATGGTCTTATCACTGTCCTTCACGCTCACAAAGCTTCAGTCACTCTGACCTCCAATTTGTCAAACATGCCAAAGCCATTTCTACCCCAGGGCCTTTGCACTAGCTATTTTTCTCCAAGTGTCATCACCTCTTTGCTTTCAAAGACTGGCCACAGGCAAGGTTCCAACAGTAGAGTGACTCCAAAATGAGTTTTAAACCTTTGGTTTGTAGGTTTGACATACATTTATTTTTCTCTTGATTCTTGTCCAGTTGGAGACTGGACCAGTCTGACATTTTCATATGACAATGAGAAGACTGAAGCCCAGAGACAGAATGCGACAGAATCAAAGCCATTCATCTTAGGGGTGGGGGGAGGGGGGCAAAACTGTCCAAGGACAGACCCAGAGGTCGAAAGTTAGAGTCATAGAGAAGAAAATGTAATCTTAACACACTACATAGTGCTTGGACCTGCACTGCTTAACAATATTTATAGTATTAGACCATTACAACCCACCTATACCTCTCCCTGTTTTTGGCTTTTGACTTTGCTGAGTTCAAGGTTGAACTTAAGAAGAGGGAGACAATCTTGAATTTCTCTTTCATTTGTGTTATTCTATTTTTCTTTGTCACAAAATATACTTTTTGAGGCCAGAGAGGGTGATTTTTAATTTATGGATTTCTCTCTACAATTACAAGAACCTAATTTTAAAAATCAAATTGGTTTCATCTAATTAAATTTGGAAATTGCCTCGTAAACATATACTCTGTTATAAATGTCTGTAAAAGCAAGGGCTCCCGCTTCCTGTCTGGAGCAGAATTGGGTTGAGCCCAGCATGGGGGGCGGCAGCAGGGGCGGGGGGGCTTCCCATCTCTCTTCTCAGGAGGACACACTCTTTTATCAAGTGTCAAAACTCTCTAAAGACTCCTGGTCTACAGCAGTGCTTCTCGAACTCCAATGCCCACATGAATCACAAACAGGCATCTTGTGAGAACAGAAACTCTGATTTGGGAGCTCTGGTGAAGCCTCAGATGAAGTATTTCTAACCAGCCTCCAGGCACTGCTGATGCGACTGGTCCACGGACCACGCTGACTAAGGGGCAAGACACTTGCACTTGAATTCAGGATCCATGAATTTGCCATCATGTGACTTTGGTCTTTTCACTTCACCACTCTGAGTCTCAGTTTTCTCATTTTTATGCAATGATAAGAGCTAACACTTATTAATGAGATTTCTAAATGCCAGAGTACTAAACATATATTTATATGTGCTTATAAATATAAATGAAAGGCTACCGGATAAACCCAAGGTTACATAGCAAGTAAGTGGCGGAGGATCAATCCTGGCCATAGTCCAATACTGGAAATGAGCTCTATCAGCCTTATCAAAGTTTAGTTTGTTCTTGTTTTGCAGTGAACTTCTATACAGCTCGTTCTAATTCTGAAAGTATTTAGGAAGCTGCATTGTGTTGGCTTATGAGTCCTTCCTGCCTGATGAGGATCTGTTCCATCTCTGATATCAGGTCCTGCTAATCCCGGGACAGCATCACTTGGAGGACAATAAAGAATGCCTGGTCCCCAGAGCAATGTTACAGCTCAAGAATCATGTGCCCCCAGGGAAGGGAGTGACGTTGGGATTCTTTTGAAAGCCCAGGGACTGTTGTGGGTAGGATGGGCATCATGCGAGCATTGTGGATGAATCGTAACCACTGCTTGCCAGGCCTGGGTCCTCTTGGCCATGCCAGGACAGCCCAGGTCCATGCGTCCTGAAACCTCTGCTGAAGCGATTGAGAATCCCTTCAATGCATCGTATGCCCATTAGGTTGGTCATCGGGGCTATCATGACAGCACAACAGTATGCCCTGCGTTTTCTTCCCACCGTGTCGGTGATTGTGTCTCACTCCCCTTTATGCCCTCAGTGGAGCTCTGAACGTAGCAGGTGTTCGCCAGCCTCAGGCTGAAGTCAATAGGATGAAGCCATGACAAGAGATACAGCCAAAGGGGCCTTCTTACCTCGTACAGCGTGATGACCCCATTGGTCTCATTGGGAGGTTTCCACTGGATGTAGATCTTCTCCTCAAACGGCCCCCCTTGGATGGACTCTAGAGGAACAGCACCTGGAACTGCAGAAGGGAAAAGTTAGGAACTTGATGTCGCCTTTAATCTCATGTCCCCAGCCTCACTGACCTGGAACAGGAGTTGGCCAAGTTTTCCTGTAAAGAGTCAGATAATCATTATTTTAGGCTTTGTGAGCCATTCGGTCCCTGTAGCAACTACTCCACTTTGTGTTTGTAGCACAAAAACAGCCTAAGACAATCCATACATAAATGGGCATGGCTTCATTTCAACAAAACTTCTATTTCTAAAAACAGGCAACGGGCTGGAGCGGACCCACAGGCCATAGTTTTTTCACCCCTCTCCTGGAAGCCTGATGGCTTTTGACCTGCAGACCGAGCAAGTCTGGTCTTGAACTGAACCTGACCAGGGTTGGAGGACATCTGTAGGTCCCCCAGTCCTGCCAGCACGTGGGATTCTGGGGCTAGTCTCTTGCCTTAGGACTGGTATTTGCAGAATGCAAAGGGAGCTTCCCTTGCCAAACCCTGCCCAGTTTTCTTCAGCTACAGGAAGTGCTTCCTCAGCGGAATCCATCGGGAACTATGTGCCCTGAAGTCTCAATCCAATTAGAAGGAGCTCGCCATGCTCCGGGGAGGCAGCTAGGCCGTCTCGCTGCTGAGCCTCCAATGTCTGGAACACGGTAGATGCTTAATAACCATTTGCTGGTTGGGTAACTAGGGGAATAAATGACCTATGCCAGCAGTTTGCCCTAATGAGCAAAACCTATCCTAGGCTGCTTGGTACCCAGGTCCGTCTCCCAGCCAGCATCCTCCTGCTGGACCCCACCATCCTGTGACAGCCTGGAAGATGCTGAACCACAAAATAATAATTCCCCAAACTTTTTTATAACCCCCAAGGGAATCTTGAATTCATGTAAAGCATTACGGTATCTATTTGTATGTTGGCCTTATAAAAGCAGGTACTTTTATGAAGCACTTACTCTTTGATCAGAATTTTACATACATTATTTCATTGAAGCCCCAAACCAGCTCTGCCCAGTACTGATTATCTCTTTTGCGCTGAGAAGGGAACTGAGGCTAAGAGAATCAAGTAACTCGCTCAAGGTCATATGGCTCTTAAATTATAATGAGGGAACTGAATACCTACCTGTGAGTTTCAAAGCATATACTCTTAATCACCACGCTCGCCTCTCTAGATAGAGCCTTGGCCATATGTTGCAATCAGTTCCCTATTGTTAAATTAAGATATATTTAGTTTTTCTCATTATGGACACGATACGCAGGATTTGTTGACTATTAAGAATATACAAAAAGATTTAAAGAAGAAAAGAACAAAATCACTCCTATTCCCCAGTACTGGAGATATTTTTATGCCTATGCATATACCTATTTATTTTTAAAAATTAAACTCCTACTGTGCATTTCGTGTTGTGATCTTCTTTTATGGCTAAAAAAATCACACTTAAAAAAAACCTTTACATGTTCTTTGGGGCCATGTGTTTTAATGGCTGCCTAGAGAAGGACAGGCCCCATTCTAGCCACCAACCCTTTATTATCGGGCATTAAATTTGGCTTAAATTCTTTATGATTATAAGCAACACTGTGATGAACATTCTTATAAGTAAGTATTTGCATGAAACTCTGATGTCCCTAAGACACATTTTTGGAAATCAATCTACTGAGCCAACATACATGAACTATTATATTTTAAAGGCTTTTGATATAAATTACCATATTACCTTCCAGAAAGTTGGTACAACTCTGGGATCCCCAACAGAAAAATATGCCGATTTTCAACCTCTGCCACCACTGACTATTTAAAAAAATAAGTGTCTGTGTGTGTATCTTTTTTTAGAATACTGGAGAGAGTGGATTTGTTTTTCAGCTTAATTGGCCATTTGCATTGATTCTTTCATGAACATCCTCTCTATACCCTGTGCTCATTTCCCTGTATGGCTCTTCATTTTTGTTCATCATTGTTTTATGAGCTGGTAATTATAATCTGTTTTTAAGAACATAAGCTGTTTTGCATAAGTTACAAATATTTTTGTCAGTTTCTCATTTGCTTTTAAAATCTTTTAGGTATGTAGAAGCTTCGGAGTAGTCAGATCTCTTATTGCTTTCCCTTAACCATTCATCCTTTCCACAAATATTTATTGACTCTTTAATATGACCAAGGGGATGGCGGTGGTCCACTAGGGATACACCAATGGCTAAGAAAGATAGAGTCAAATCCTTGCTAAAGCTTGTGTTCTGAAAAGGGAGACAGACATTAAATAAATAATTACACTCACAATTAAATTCTTAAAATTGTTATCAGGACTTGGAGATAAAGTGCAGGTGTCAGGAGAATTATAACAAGCAGAGAAAAACCAGTCTGGCAAATCAGGATAATATGTGAAAATAAATTCAAGTCAATGGGTAAGTAGAAGTTACTAGGGCAAAGGCGGGGAGGGTGTGTATTGAGTGGGGTGGATACCTTTGGGAGGGCAAGAGCAGGAGAAAAACCATCTTGGCGGGGGGGGGGCAGATATGGTAGCTTGGGCCAGGGTGATGGTATACAGAAGACGTGCAGGAGATTTGGGGGTGCTGAACTAATGTTAATTGGTGGTGATGGATAAGGGTGAAGAGATGGAGAGAGGTGTTAAGACCCAGCTCTTCTGCTTAATACAACTGGAGTGGATCAGAGTGCTGCTCATAGAGAAGAAGCTCAGAGGAGAGTTAGTTTGGTAAAGGAAGCAGTGGCCACACTTCATTGGAGGCGTATCTGTGCCCTTGCGGCAATTTTGAGTTGCGGTGTTGGATATATGAGACTGGGACCAATGTTTAGAAATTAAAACCATGGGCAGGGAATAGATATTGTAGTAAGAATGTAGAGGGCAACAAAAAAAAAGTAGGTCTAGGACTAAGCCCAGAGGAACTCCAATATTAACAAATAGGAGGAAAACAAAGACACTGAAAAATAGAGGCTGTGTTCAGAGAGGCAAGGGAAAACCAGGAAGGTGAGCTGTCATCACAGCAGCAAAGGGAGGGCCCAGAAGGGCTGGTGAAGAGTGACAGGTGTGGCCCTAGCCAGTTTGGCTCAATGGACAGGTCATCAGCCCGAAGACTGAAGGGTCCCAGGTTCGATTCTGGTCAGGGGTATGTACCTAGATTACAGGTTGCAGGCTTGATCCCCATGCAGGGAGACCACCTATCTCTTCCTTCCTTCCTTCCTTCCTTCCTTCCCCCCTCCCTTCCACTCTCTCTAAAACTCAATGGAAAAAATATCCTCAAGTGAGGATTAACAACAACAAAAAAAGAGTGACAGGTGTGCCTAAGTAGTCAAGTAGGATGGAACCTCATATTTTCCAAGTGGATTTAGTGTCTATAAGATTACTCATGACCCAAGCAAGAGTAATTTAGGATGAATGCTGGTGATACAAGCCATCCTGCAGTGGGTGGAGAAGGGAGTGGAAGGTGAGGGATTGTGCTGAGACAAGTGAACTATTTCGGATGTGACTGGGAGGAGAATGCGAGAAGTGGCAGGATGAGATATGGAGCCAAAGCAGTACCCCCTTCCAAACACAGGAAAGGTCTTTTTTTTCCAGTCTGGAATATTTTTTATTAAATCTTTATTGTTCAGATTATTACAGTTGTTGCTCTTTTTCCCCCCATAGCTCCCCTCCACCCAGTTCCCACCCCAACCCTTTGCCCTTACCCCCCCTCCCACTGTCCTTGTCCATCAGTGTATGCTTTTTGTCCAGTCTCTTCCCTCCCCCCCCACATTCCTTCCCCCCCCCGATACTAGTCAATCCACTCCCTTTCTATGCCCCTGATTCTATTATAGTCACCAGTTTATTCTGTTCATCAGATTATTTATTCACTTGATTTTTAGATTCACTTGTTGATAGATGTGTATTTGTTGTTCATAATGTGTATCTTTACCTTTTTCTTCTTCTTCCTTTTCTTAAAGGATACCTTTCAGCATTTCATATAATATTGGTTTGGTGGTGATGAACTCCTTTAGCTTTTCCTTATCTGTGAAGCTCTTTATCTGACCTTCAGTTCTGAATGATAGCTTTGCTGGATAAAGTAATCTTGGTTGTAGGT